AAGCGAACAGCGCCCTACGTCACCACAAAAGCAACAACAGAAAGAATATCGCTTTGTTTAGGCGCATGCGACGATGCTGAGAGGGGATTCGCCCTTCCGTCCCCTTGTTCATTGATTGATGTCCGATAAATCGGCCTTTGATCCTGTGGTCGGCCTCCCTAATTGGAGGTAAACAAGATACTCCTCCCGGTGGTTTTCTGCCGGCCTTTCTTTGTTGGTCAGCCGGCAGCTCGCTCTCTCGGTCCCTTGCTGCTTGCTCTGTCGCCTGCGTCCGATGCTATGCACACGCATACAAACATCTATACAAATGCCGCAGGCTGCGGTAAATAACGGACCGAATGTCTATACAGACCGACCAGCGGTGCCGCCTGGGGCTTATTCGGAGCGGCCGAATGGACTGAGCGACTGACTGGTGTGCTCGGTGGCGGTGGGCTAAAGTTTATTAAACGCTACCAATATTGATTGAAAGGCTTGACATCAAGGCAATTATGGCGTTTTCCCATCGGTCGACTAAGCCCCGACCTATCACGGATGTGACTTACGCGCCGGCACCGCTTCGACCGGCCGCGTTGAGACAGACCGAAATTCAACAACAACAGCTTCGTCGTCGCGCTCTGGACTGGAATTCCTCGCAAAGGATCACACACTGCACGTGGAGCTCTGCCCTGAGCTCGACCCCCTCAGCCCGGAGGAACAGCGAAACTCTGAAGTCATATACGAATCATTGTCGGACTCTGTCAGTCTCACTGAGATGTGACATGTGAGGAATCGATGCGGAGAGTTTCATATCTTGGCAGCGAAAGTGTGGTCGAAGCGATTCTCGCCGTCTCTCCGCCGGGTTTCTCCTGGTCCCTCTCTCCACTCAAGGTGTAACCTGCCTTTGTATCTATCTACCCGGCTCTTCTGCCGACAGCGAACGTATGCTAATGTCGAAATAAGCTGTATGCATTGCTGCAATATGGCGGTGGAGCCGCGGAGAGCGGTAGGGGTAGAGGAAGTGAGGCTGGCAAGTTCAACACCGCTCGAGACATCTCGGAGATCGAACTGTTTTTCGCGCATTCCGAATGAGCGGTACACATTCCCGAGCGGTGACGGAAGCTCACCCGCAACCGAAAATCAGGAGTTGGCTCAAGTTGAGCTCACGTTCACGGATCAGACGATTCTTTCGAGGACTTCGTGTTTCGTGTTGTCCATCGGTCGGCTGGAGTCGATCATGGAATCGGTTGCTAGCGAGTCAGCTGTATGTTGCAGTGGACACGGGAGGAGACTCTCTGTGGTCGTAGTAGTTCGAAGCATTCCTCGTCGGGTCTCTCTTCCTTTATCTATTACATCCATCGAATTGCTCCATTCCCACAAGATCAAGGCTCCGGTCCGATCGCGACGGTGAACCTGCAAGCCGACTGCTGGTGGGCTGACGGGGCTCCGCCGATATTAAACTGGATGCAAGGTGTTGCTTCCCCCTATTGCTCTTCTCAGGCGTATAACGAGCTAGCTTTGATATAGCACCAAGCCGCAGAGACGGGAGAGACGAAAAGAAATATGGAACACAAGCAGTATGGAAGGATCAGCGGTCGAGATGAGGAATTCGACATTGAGACATTCTCGAAGAAGCATTTGTCTCTCCCTGCAGAATCAAGAGGAGAATGTAGTCCCGAATGAGTTATTTGACTTGATATTTGTTCGGCGTCCTCTCCAGCATCACGTGAATTCTCTCTTTGTTCTTTCGCATTCTCCTTCTAAAGAATCGCCAGCCCTTCGTGGGCGGTATTCTGATCTTGAACCACAATCATTCAGGAGCAGCCCCGGACGACAGAAAAATCGCGGCGGGGAGCGAGCGTCTCCCCGTAATATCTGGGGCCGGGAAAACCTCGCATTATATTACTTATAAGTAGAGTTTTTCCCGGACATCTCATATCTATCCAATCCGCAAGAGCGAAGACCGACGACCTCATGTTCGTTTTTCACCTCGAGGCCGACCATTGGCCGATTGGCTACTTCGTTCGTTCGCCTGCACTCGAATCCATCGTCGCGGGATAACTTCATCGGCTTGCTTGCGACTACCGCGAGGCTAGACATGGACGCTCCTGACATTTATGTCCGTCGTAGCCCTTCCAGAGGGACTGTGTAGCTGTCCTGGCTTCTTATACTCTTTTGTCCGCCGTTGATCTTTCGAGTTTCCTCTAGTCTGTTTTCCGTCGAATTTCCCAAAGCATCTCGGCAAAGCCAGGTCAGGAATGTCTGATCGACTACTCGAGCAGTACGCGATTCTGAATAGCGATTTATTCTGTCTGAATGAATTCTGCGACTCGCACCCTCAGCTTTCGCAGAGCCTATTGCCTCTTCCGCCGTCTTTGAAGACTCTCCGCCGGACAGGAGAGCTTAGTCTAGTTGAGCAAGTCAGAACTTCTCGTAAACATCAGACATGATTACGGAGATTAAATATCTCACCGTTGGATGCGTTCCTAGGATGGAAGGTTCGGAAGTTGCGGTTGGGCGCGCATACACTGGGCTCGCTTATAGACAGAGAAAACGGTACCGTCAGCGAAATTCGAGAAAGCCGGACCGTTCGAAGCCCGACTAGAAGTCCACTTCTAGAAAGGCAGAGCCTTCCGTTATAGAGAATTATGGTCTCGGACTGGTCGGCCAAGGAAAAAACAAGTTCATAGACCTGATTTCAATGTTTCTGTGAAATTCACATTCGCTGCGTCCGCGTCGACCGTATTGGCTATGAATACTCGATTTGCCAGAAGTATCCGTATGCCCCCGGAACAATATGCTGTCCGAAGTAAGGAAGCGCCTCCCGTCCAATATTCTTGCGAGGTCCGCTGGAACTCACAGAAACCGTAGGAATGCCACAAGTCACTTGGAAAGCCCTTCGAGAGCTCTAAGCATCAGCAGGATGATGCCGAGGAACCCATGATATCGGTTTTCAGGCACCGAGACCCGAGGGGAGCAGAAATCGACCTACGGGATGTGACAGTTCTCCAAACTCCATAGGACTGATCCAGATCGTTTGTTATAAAATGACCATCTTGTTTCGATTTCATCCTTCATCATCGGCGACCGAGGATGGAATCCGACGGCTTTCAAGAATCTCCGCCTCCAAGGATGGATGTTGACCGCAACGTCGTATGATCAGACCCCGAGAATTATCTCCGACATTTTTCGCCTTCGAGTCGTTCGAGTTTAGAATCCCTTTCCCGGAAGGGTCCCTGGATCGTGAGCCTTGCCCTCCGGCTGCACCCTGCGCAAGCCCTCGCAAGAGTTCGAGAGCCACTCCGATTTTTTCGTCGCCCGGAACAACTAGAGCTTCGATCTTGCGACCTGAATCCTCTTCACCATGTATCCCGTCCCATCCCCGGGAATCAGGACGAGGGACAAAGCGACGATGCGCGGAGAGCTCTCAAGCCTGAGCCTGCTCGACGATCCGTGCTCCCAACGGGAATCGCGCGGGTTTGAGGATCCCTGAAGTTTATTCCATAATTGTAGCAGTTCCAACTTTGTCAGCGTGTAATGTAATGTATATGTGGCTGACGTTGAGGCAGCACCGGCAGCCGCTGCTGCTGCCACGGCTGGCGGGCCCGGTGGCCACTGTCAGCGATGTGTTGGACCAAAGCCGCCGGGCTCCCTTTCGCTTAGGTGCGTTGTCTCCGCCTAGCCCTCGCTCAACCTGACGTCAGGACCACGCCTCCGTCTTGTAGCACTGGCTTCCTCGACCCGCGCTGGTCCTTAGAACAGAATAGGCACGTTCGGGAGCAAGGCCTGCTGAGTTGGCACTATTTCTTCATGCTGAGCTTCTAAAACTCCAGCTGCCCGCCGGCCAACCAGCCAGCTCGACTGCCTGCCTGCCTGTCTGTCCGTTCGTGAGGTTCGAAGCGTGAAGCTGGAAACTGTCGAAAAAAATAGCTACCGTCTTCCGACTGTGATCGACCACCGAGTCGACCAAGTGATCTAGTGTTCTGGAAGAGTTTTGTGCGTTCTGTGATGTTCCCTCTCATCGTGAACGAATCTCGTGATAATCGTTGAGGAACGGCGGCGGATCTCCTGCCCTTGAGGAACAGCTTCAGTTCTTGTGCGCGGATCCTCCTCGTCGAAGGGGACTGCCAGATGTCCGACCTGTTACATGAGACCCTCATTTCACATCTAGCGTTTGCTCAAGCCGTCGTGAGGGGGACCTCCTCATAGTGGACCGAGCAGAACTTCAAAACATTCCCATCTGGAGACCACCTGTTCGAAATATTTGGAGGCAGGCTGGTATTCTGGTATTCCCTCCGACCTCATCGAAACTGTCGGTGAGAGGAGAAATCCACTTGCTCTCGCTCTCTCTGTCTTGACAGCGAGGGAAGGGAGACAGCTCGAGGTTGCCGAGGGGATCCCTCCGGTGTTCGATACTGTCGTCCAGAGACGCTCAGCGATACATTCATCGCGGAGTTGTTCGAAGGGATCTCCGCATCGCGGGGAACTCTTCCCGAATTGATAATCAGGCGAAAGAATTATTCGAATACGGGAGTGCGCCGCGTAATCTTCGGAGCAAAGGACAGAAAATTACCGCATAAAGTCGGCGTTCATCGAAACGGTCAGACCCCGTAGAAGTATTCGCGTTCCGTGATCGGATCGCGGTTCCTCCGGGAAGCTCGCGTGGAATTTGCGAAAAAGTGCGGGACCATTTATCAGCCGAACCCGAGGACCAGTCCACAGTGGTCCCGAAGCGAGGAAGTGTGGCGGCGCTGGACGAGTCGGTAGGGGTGAATTACCCAGGCGGAGGCAACGCGGTGCCTGTAGTCCGTTCCGTAGGCGTCATCACCCCGAACAACAACTGGCTCTGCTGTCCGAACGATGACGCTACGGGTCCCAAAGCTCCAAACGCATCTCCAGCGCCGTTTTACGACTTTTATCCTCCGTGTCCTGCCACGGCCGAAAGCCGTGACCATCAGGACGTGATCGACGACGCGCATTCTGCCGACGAAGACGATGACACGACCATAGACTCCCTCGACAGAATGGATAGCACTCACCAGACGTCGGAACCGATAACAGCGTATCATCTGCATCCGGCAGTGCCGCCCCCGCAGGATTTCGATCTCGACCATTTAGAGGACGTAGTCAAGCAGGAAATGGTACCTGACCCGGAGGATTTTCGTGCGATGCAAGCACGAAGCGCAGGTGCTCATCAGATTCTAGTCTTGAACGAACAGCCCGGAACACCCCCAGAAACGCCTCCTGATCAGCCCGAAGGTCTTCATTGGCTTCAGCAGTCGAGCGCCGCTCTCAGCTGCCACGCTCCTCATCACGCCCCTCCACGACGAGAGCCTCTGGACCTTCGGCCCGAGAATGTCGACGCTTGGGTGCACCTTCCGAGGCGGGATTACGACGGAGGGGGTGGCGGCGGGGGCGGGGGCGGCGGCGGAGGGGGTCAGGCTGGCCTAGGAATCGGCCTTCCGGGGGGTGGGGGCCCTCGCATGCAGCATCCCCAGCATTCTCTCTCTCATCACATGATGCCACCTCTTGGGGCCGCCGGAACCAACGGAGCTGCTACAACTCAGAACGGATCATCTGGCGGTCGCGATATCTTGGACGACGACTTGTTGGTCTCACTGTCTGTGCGTGAACTCAACAAACGCCTCCACGGTTTCCCCCGTGAGGAAGTAGTTCGCCTCAAGCAGAAGCGTCGGACTCTGAAGAATCGTGGCTACGCCCAGAACTGCCGAACGAAACGCCTGGCAAAACGACACGAGCTCGAGAGCCGAAATCGGCTCCTACAAGCTGAAGTGAACCGACTACGCCAGGAGCTAGAACGGACTTGTCAGGAGAGAGACTTCTACCGGCAGCAGGTCGCCCTGACGAGTAATCAACCACCGCCTCACAGCAACGCAGCCACCGGGGGGAACAACAATCCCGCCGGAGGCAACAACAACAACAACAGCAGTACAGCGCCTCAACCAGCACCCAACCAAAATCATTCCACGCTGCTTCCTGTCAACTCGCAAATTATTCAGCAGAACTCAAGGATGGCATCGCATCCCATGTCCCAAAGCAATCCTCACCAGGGTTTAGCACATCATCATCAGACGATGGTTCCCTCTGGACCTCAGGGCGGATCGTTATCGAGCGGAGCTTCGTCTTCTTCTCCGTCTTCTCCAGAGTATTACATGTGATCCAGGCCCTTCTGCAGGATCGCCTGCAGATGAGTACTTACGGAATTCTTCACTCGATTCCGAAGATGTCTCCGTCTGGAAGAGAGTGGACGCCCCAAGAACTCGACTCACAGCCGGGATCGATAGGGAATCCGCTCCGGCAGGATCATATCTCTAGAATGAACGGCAATGACGGGAGAGGAACAGGTGGCGGCGGCGGCGACGGCGGTGGCGGAATTGTGATGTCCGAAAGTCATGATGATCGAGGGCATGAGCCACGACCAGGGAAAGCGACGTGCAGGGGAGCACAGATCTCATTTTACGGAGGTGCGGGGAGGAGGTTTCTCGAGGGCACTCGCATCACACGCCGTATTCATCCAAATGTATTCTCCCAAGGTCCGATTGAAGTGTTGTTGTACATAGAACGAAATTCATCGACGGGTTGGTCGTTTTGGGACGCGATTGTAAAGTGCGAAACCAACGGCTCAACGTGCGTTTCCTCCCCTTTAAGAAGTAAGACGACAATGCACGGGAAGTTTTACCGGCAATCATTGAGAAGGTGCTCCGAACGGAGAACCGAGCCCATGGATGTAGATTTGAGAGAATTTTCCTTGAGGCTCGGGACAAGGAAGAACCAGACGGAAGACGCTGGGGAGAGAAAATTTCACTAAGAACTGGAGCTAGACGGGAGATCGTTCCGCCGCTACTCCCAGGCCTCCTTTTAATCTTCTCGCGTTGCTACATCTCGATATTCGTTCATTGGAGAAGGCAAGAGTGGTTCCAAACGCACAACGGGATGATCTGCATTCCGTTCTTGACGAAACCAAGTTCAGACGGGAACCATCTGGGTGGGACATCCGCGCAGCGGAACGCAGCTGATTGAAGCTGATTTTGATAGATATCACCGACGAAAGCTGGAGAGGAAACGAAATCTCATTTCTTTGCCATTCTCGGCGCTCGGATACCGCATGGTCATAAGCCTAGATTCAACCGAAGAAGAATAGCCCAAAAATCTGAACCCGTGTTCCAAAAGTTTTGTTCACTGTGCGTTGACGACTGGCACGCGATCCGGATCGAGTGAAACTGTGCAATACTTACATTCAAATGCAGGAACGAGCTGGACGTTGATCCCTCGGCACGAAATCAGTAGCTCGAAGCTCCAAGGGCCCGGAGTAAAAGTCATTAGGCCGTCTGAGCTTCGTCTCAGTCAGCTGTACATATTTCTTTTCACCTCGAATGGTTCTCACATTGAAGTAGAGTCGGGATTCAGCCATCAGGCCTGACCATTGATTTAGCGAAAGGAATCAGATAGACGGACGGAGCACGATGAAGAATCTATGACGTCGGGGGAAACCGAACATCTGCGATAATATAATTGCTTGAATAAAAGCAAAGTATGTTAACTTGAAACCTTGTTCTTTTCACCATCTTCTATACATTTGATTTTGATCGAATCCGAGATTCGAATGCTTCTCTGTGTAGTGGCGGACCGATTCAGCCTCAGGTATAACCATTCGGTGAGCAAACGATCCGGTCGACGGTCCGCCGAATTAGCGACAGTGGACAGTTTCTCTGCGCATGGCGAAACGCACTCTGGTTCAAGTCGGGAGGATCTCCAAGGCTCTCTTGCCCTTCTTTGTTCATCGTCGTTTCGGTGCGGCTCTCCTTCATCACGCAAACAGAAAGGTACACCGACTTCAGCCAGCGTCGACAGTGGGACTCGGCAGGAAGATCGTCACGCCACGAAAGCGGCATTTTCTTCGAGAGGAAGCGCTGCACCGACAGGTCTCAGCGGCCACATGGAACGAGCGGAGTGCCGACTCTGGCAGGGGCACGCGACAGAACTCATTGAGTCGAGCATACGAGAAAGGGCGGAATTCTTGAAGGGTTGCGCTTGATCTCCCTCCAGACAGGGAATGGTTCGTTAGCCTGAGGTGTCTCGATGTTCGAGCAGATCTTTTCATGTCTAGAGGGGAAAGCTGTGGAGCTGTATGCCAGATAGGCGGCGATGACTTGGACGTAGGAATAAATAGATCGGGATTCGATAGATGGGAATCGCGTATGGAGGGGGAACCCTCGAACTTCCTATGGCGGCCCGCGCAACATCTCGGATCTCTAGTTCAGAGTTTAGGGCCGATGAGCTCCCCGTGCTCCGTGCAGGCAATTCATTAGTCTCGACACTTCGTAGACATATGTATATATACACATGAAGCTCTTCCGCAAAACATAACCTAATCTTCCCAAAATCATCGGGTCGGACGACATAGATGAAGCTCGCCGCAACGGCGAACATACGCAGACTGTTGGTCACGCTGAGAGCCACGAGTGTCAGTCAAAGTCTGAGCGTCTCGAGCGGCATGAATCATTGAGGGTCGACCCGCGAACGGTCTCGAACTCCTGTTAGTGCTACGAACGAGCGTCGATGTTGAGCAAATCACCGGGTGACATCGCAGAGGGAAATTTATCAATCACAGCCACCAAAAGAAACATCTCACGCGCTCAGTCCGGGACCGATTGATTGATATCCTCCACGGGGAAGGAACGACGACGAACCCAAGAGATAGTTAAGAGACAGTCGGCACGGGAAATCTCTTTCTCGTTCACGCTCGCCAGGGTACGTCGCGTCAATGAGCAAGGACGCAGGACGACGCGTGTAATGTCCTCCGTGAGTGCGGGATCACTCCAAGCCGTTGCTCCCATGAGGTACCTTACCGAATTGTTGGGCACCTGACTCGCTCAACTGGGACATGCTGGGAGCATCGCGACCTATGAAACGTGGAAAATGGGTCAACGTCGTGAATTCGATGTGATGTCAATTTTCATGCACGGCGCATTTTGTTCCAAGTCGAATCTCACAAGACTCGATATATTGAGGGTCAATGGTCGCCACTGCTCCAAGAGTAGTAGCTCTCGATGAGGTGACGGTCAGGCTGATGGAGCTCGCTCTTTCAGATATGATTTTCAGACCTCGTCGTGGGTGGGAGCCTCTCCAGTACTTCCATGGTCTCAATAATTGTCTCCGACTTGTTTCCAGCGGGAATTTCCCACGCGCTACACCTACGGATTCGGATTCTCACCTATTTCGTGTGGGATCAAACCTTGATCCCGGTGGCATAGGAGAAAACAACCTGTGACCCCTGGAGGGCCGACTTAATTGCTTCCGAGAGACGTCGAGACGATGGTCCGACGGAAGGCTAGAGTCAGTCGGTGGGTAGGTCGGTCAGCCGTCCGGTGAGACAGACTGTCAGTCTAACTAAGTGTAAGTCTGGTCGAGTGGAAGCTTCGGACAAGCGCTTGAGATTTGTGACTCTCTTAAATATTTACTCCATCTTCCGAGGCTTCAATGTAAATAGTTCCGCAAACTGTATATTTGACTCTGATCGAGCACGCGGAGAGACACAATAACAACAACGGACCATTGACTTCAGAATCACTAAAAATAATGGGAGCTCTCGTTCTCATCATCGAGTCCCGGATTCTCGGTCAGAGGGTATCTGTCTGTGCATTGGATAGGGCGTGGGGTGGCTGTCGTCGTTGTCCTCGGGCAGGAAGTCGATACAGGGCAACTCGATCCGGGTCCGCCACGATCTACGATGGACTCTCGGAAATCTACGATATGGCCCGTTGATTTCCCAAAGCAATGAACATGTCAGGAGATATAACTTTGTTCGAAGAGCCCACAACCGTCACAGCACGCAAAGAGGGGGCAAGTGAACATGTAGTCGGGCTGTGCTTTTGCCGGAGTTATGCATCCGAAAACGAGAGATCCGCGTTTGTATGGCCGAGAGAGCGGGAAAGTGAAAGAGAGCAAGAGGGAGAATGAGAGAGGCAAAACCACTTCCCATAACTACCATTGTTCTGACAAAACGATTTCATGTTGTCGTTGTTGTTACAAAGTGCAAGCTCTGTTCGGGGTAGATTCTTGATGCATCGGCATGTAGCCCAATTGAGTGTCGCTCTTTTTTCTCAGAGCCCAGGCATGGGACTTTTCGGAAACTTTTTCCATGGCTCCTATTTCTGTCTATCCGCTACCCGGAAAAAGCTTTGTGAGAACAAGGGAGTATCCTCGTAAAAATAAGCGGAGTTTTCACTTCTAGACCTACTCATTCGATGCCGCACTCTAGCGGGAAATCGCGAGCCCTTTCCAATTTTCAAAAACGTTCGCTCCCGTGGCTGTGTACCTGGAGCTTGAACTCTATTTCTCTGGAAACCCTGCAGTCTATCCCGCGGAACACCTTGCAGACGCTACATGAGATACAGAGGTCGGCTAGCGAGGTGGATGACACAGATAGGATAATAATTTTTCTCTTCTCGTATCGTGCAGATTTTAACGAGAGACAATTCAGCAGATTCCTCTGCGGTAAAACACTCCTTCCCACCGACTCGCTGCTTTCTCTGGCCGGCTGGAAAATCTGAGTTCTGATCGCTGCGGTTTCGCTATGAGTTCCATCTCAAGTGAATTCCAGCCGGGAACTCCGATGCGGGAGCCTGGATGTCTGGACTCCGCCGCAAACGATCGTCTTCGGGAGCTCAGGCTGCCCAGAGAGGGATCACGGAAGATTCTGCCGAGAACTTAACGAGCCCTAGATCGCATTGTCCTTCCTGGCCGCGACCGCCGGCTTCCGTCGGTGTACAAAGGCTGTCTGCGAGATGTCCGTATCATTATGTCGAATGTAAGCCCGGCTTAGTCGGGCTGAATCAACCCCGCCATTGAGTCGACTGACTAGCTGGCTGTATGGTCCCTCGAAACTAAAAAACGGATCGTGGACGCGCTCCGGGCCCTATTACAGGTCGGCCTGAATCCAAATGAGCTCCGGCGAGCTAAACAACCAATAGTATCTGCTGATTCAGCTAACCGTCCCCTCGGTCCCCGGGCCCCCTGGAGGGCCCACCTCCGAGACTCCGCCCAAACGGCAGCGACGGAGCGAGGGAGCAGTCGAGGGAGCGATTCCCTTTCCCGGGACATCATACCTCCCTCCCTCCCTCAGCGAGTTCTCAGGAGGGAGAAAAGATCCTCGTTCCTTCTATATGCGCATATCAAACAATATTCCTCTTTGACGCATACCGGGCGCGTAATCCGCCATGATTCCTCCGCTTGGAGCGTCCCGTTTTCCCTGGTACGACATGCGCACACTTTG